GTCTTTACTAGTTACACATCACCTCATATAACTGAACCAAGATCAAATCTACCTGTGTCTTCACTAGTTACACATTACCTCATATAACTGAACCAAGGTCAAATCTACCTGTAGCTTCATTAGTTACACATCACCTCATATAACTGAACCAAGGACAAATCTACCTGTGTCTTTACTAGTTACACATCACCTCATATAACTGAACCAAGGTTAACTCTATCTGTGTCTTCACTAGTTACACATCACCTCATATAACTGAACCAAAGTCAAATCTACCTGTGTCTTCACTAGTTAAACATCACCTCATATAACTGAACCAAGGTCAAATCTACCTGTGTCTTCACTAGTTACACATCACCTCATATAACTGAACCAAGGTCAAATCTACCTGTGTCTTCACTAGTTACACATCACCTCATATAACTGAACCAAGGTCCAATCTACCTGTGTCTTCACTAGTTACACATCACCTCATATAACTGAACCAAGGTCAAATCTACCTGTGTCTTCACTAGTTACACATCACCTCATATAACTGAACCAAGGTCAAATCTACCCGTGACTTCACTAGTGACTTATCACTCCATATAGCTTTAAAAATGACAATTTCACCCTCGTCTTCACAAGTGATATTAATGTAGTGTGCTTGCAGCGATTAATTATTAGTTATTATCAATGAAAATCTAACTCTTTCCCTATCCCCCCCCCAACCCAACCCAAATTAACTGCCTTACAGTAACCAATAAAAGGCCGGCCGACGATGTGTTTACTCTCTTCACTGGGGCATTAATTTGACTATTACATAAGACGCCACTAATTTGTGCGTTATAGAAGACGTCGCATTGACCCTGCCAGGAGTTATTCAACAAGGTTTTGACGTTGATTGGTCTCCACTGTCTGACCCTTTCATTTCAAGATCAAAATGAAAGAATGTGGTCCACGACGTTATCACGGTTGAGCTGCCTGGTGCACGGGCGGTAGAGACCCTTTCCATGACTGAGACGTCGAGATTGTAAGGATTTAACGAAAGCAAATAAGACAGGCCATGTCACCATTTCTAGACACAAAATACAGTTTAAAATAACGCAGTGGGGTAAATGTGAATATAGAAGTAAGGAGTTTTTTAAAAAACTGTCACTCCATTTAAATTGTTACGATTACATTGTAGCTTCTATTAGCTGTGAAAGTTTATGTTTTGGGGCAGTGGAGTAGCCAGGGGCAGTGGAGAAGCTAGGGACAGTGGAGAAGCTAGGGACAGTGGAGAAGCAAGGGCAGTGGAGTAGCCAGGGACAGTGAAGAAGCCAGGGTCAGTGGAGTAACCAGGGTCAGTGGAGTAGCCAGGGTCAGTGGAGTAGCCAGGGTCAGTGGAGTAGCCAGGGTCAGTGGAGTAGCCAGGGTCAGTGGAGTAGCCAGGGTCAGTGGAGTAGCCAGGGTCAGTGGAGTAGCCAGGGTCAGTACCATGCGCTTCGGGTCAAGCATTTGTGCCCCCTTCCTTTTTTTCCAAGAAAAAACCCTCCAGACGGCTGAAAATGTCCCCCCCCCCCCCATTTTTCCCGTTCATTTAAAGGAAAAAAGTGCCGCCCGGGGCGAACCGCTCAGTCTGCACCCCCTGGCTACGCCACTTTTTGTTAAATAATTGTCGGTTGGAACGTAGATACTTTTGGGTTTGGTTTTAACGTTGATATTTGTCTGCACTGAATGTTGATGTTTGTCTGCACTGAATGTTGATATTTGTCTGCACTGAATGTTGATGTTTGTCTGCACTGAATGTTGATATTTGTCTGCACTGAATGTTGATATTTGTCTGCACTGAATGTTGATATTTGTTTTTTAAAAAGGGATATTTTTCGGATTCAAAGTTGATATTTGTGGATTTTAAAAGTTGATGTGTCGTGAACGATATTGGTAGGTTTAAAAGTTGATATTTGAGGTTTGAAATATTTTTCTGATGTTAAAGATGATATTTGACGCACGAAAGATGGTATTTTGTACACTCCTCTGTGGGACAAAGACACTACGAGTCTCACTAGATCACGAACATTTCCCAAAAGCACACGAAATGGTGTGTCTACATTTTTTAAGTATATTTTTTTCTATAACTTTATAACGAGCAGATGTAGAGTAAACACGATAAAAGTGAACACTAAAAACAAACTCTGTTAACTATGGTGGTATTTTTGGTCCACAACAACATTACAGTCGCCCAAACTCTTCTCTTATCGGGAAACTTTATTGTTCAAATGTACGATCTCCCGACACGGAGGTGTGACGTCAGACATTAGTTGTTGGTCCTGTTGATCATACGCCTTGCTGCATGTCAACATTGTGAAAACGTGTGAGAACATTTGCTCCGCTAGGCCGAGTTGATCCACGTACAAGCTTTCGCCCTTAGCAACTCCACATTTTTTACACCTCACGAGACCGTACCAGGCGGTGCCTTGTATCAGAGTCGCGCGTGTGCGGACTTTGCTGCGACCACCTCGGCGTAGGAAGGGGGACAAGGGATTAGGATTTTATCAGCGTCTTTGTGCGTTGCACCCCTGAAAGTTTTTACTTGTCTGTTTGTGGAGATTTGCGGCATTGTCCCCACACGGGTTGTTATACGTGTGGCTCAAAGAGCGGCAGTCAAACGCTTTTCATGGATGGAAACATCAAATGCACATTATAGAATGGAGGAAATAAATCAAATGACTAGGCAGATGGTACAAAGTTGATGTGAATTCGAGGCAGTTTTGTTTTAAGATTGGTAAATATGTTTTGAAGTAGTTTTGTATAAAGCTGGTGGGAATTTGAGGTAGTTTTATATAAAGCTGGTGGGAATTTGAGGTAGTTTTGTATCAAGTTGGTGGAAATTTGAGGTAGTTTTATATAAAGCTGGTGGGAATTTGAGGTAGTTTTGTATCAAGTTGGTGGAAATTTGAGGTAGTTTTGTATCAAGTTGGTGGGAATTTGAGGTTGAAGGATTGTAGATTGTTGGTGTTCATCCATTTCTTTTAGACTTTTAATTAAAAAAACCCACCCCATAGTTGTTAATTATCATGATGATAACAAAAGGGGGGGGGGCAGACTGCAATCCGGTAAGGTAGAAGGAAATATGTAAAACAAGCTTTATAGCCTGTGTGTTGGCCTAGTTTTTCTTCACCCTGCTTGGTGTCGACCAGTGCATGCATCCCTTAACCCCCACCCCCTACACACTTTTTTTTTTACTGCCGTCATCTATTAGCTGGGTGACCCTCCCCTCCCCCCCTACACACTTTCTTTGATTGGGAAGTTGCTTACATCTTCAAGAAGGTTTACATGGAGGTAGAAAATACTCTGTGGCGATTGAATTTCTGGACTTAAATTATTGAGAGTTCTGACTCCCTCATTATAAATACGACGGTCGACTGTGACCGGCAGACTTACGAGACTTCCTAGATATTTCATTATCCTGTGTTTGGATTAATCTTTGTACCTTTCCCATATTATACTTTTTTCACTTACTGTAAGTTAATATAGTTTTCTATATTTGATTTTCTATTTTTATATCAACTTAAAAGTGTAATTAAATTCACTAGCTTTGCTATAGTTTTTCTTTGTAATATAAGTTTTCAGTTCTTTGTTACGCATTGTTCATCTAACGAGCCGACTCTTAAACCACGTTACATTTGTTGAACCTTACAATGATGCGTGACACAAGGTAGGGAAACCCCTGGTCAGGAGGCCTTCTTCGGAGCACAGTACAAACAAAGAGTGAAACTACATTCCTCTTGGCTGTACTCTTGGGTCAAATAGCACAGTACAAACAAAGAGTGAAACTACATTCCTCTTGGCTGTACTCTTGGGTCAAATAGCACAGTACAAACAAAGAGTGAAACTACACTCCTCTTGGCTGTACTCTTGGGTCAAATAGCACAGTACAAACAAAGAGTGAAACTACACTCCTCTTGGCTGTACTCTTGGGTCAAATAGCACAGTACAAACAAAGAGTGAAACTACATTCCTCTTGGCTGTACTCTTGGGTCAAATAGCACAGTACAAACAAAGAGTGAAACTACATTCCTCTTGGGTCAAATAGCACAGTACAAACAAAGAGTGAAACTACATTCCTCTTGGGTCAAATAGCACAGTACAAACAAAGAGTGAAACTACATTCCTCTTGGCTGTACTCTTGGGTCAAATAGCACAGTACAAACAAAGAGTGAAACTACATTCCTCTTGGGTCAAATAGCACAGTACAAACAAAGAGTGAAACTACATTCCTCTTGG